AAATTTAAAAAAAAAAAAAAAAGTGGGATTTTGTCTTGAAGGTGTGGGAATGCAAAAATAATATTAAAAAAAGAAAATTGAGACAAAAGAGAAACAGCAAAGCAGATAGAAATGTGGAGGGCATGCAGTGGTAGGAATTAGGAATTAGGGGAAGCCTCACAAGTAAGTACAAAGCCTTTCATGGGACCAAAATCTACCCTCTGCCCCACCCACCACTTTTCCTCTCCCTACCAATTCTATTCTAAATTTACCCATAATAATAATAATAATATAAGATTCCTTTTTAGCTACTTTGAGTTGAGGCAATCAATTTTTTAATTTTGGAGTGAAAAAACAAATTATTGAGAGGACGTGGGTTCAAAAATCCACCACATAGATCGAAAATACTTTTATAATTTCTCTCTCGTATATATATCTAATGATTTAAATTTACCAAACACATTTAGATGCAGATCCATATGCTTTTACGGATTAGGGGCACGTTGTTGTCTCGAGTTTGAAACTTCAATTCATGCAAAATTCTTGTTTTTTGTGCCAAAAAAAGTGATGTTTATGTATATATAAAGTTATAGTTCTTAGTGTTATGAGCTTAATTCAAGAGTAATTGGCAACTGTCTCTGATCCAGAGGTACTTACGAGTTAAAATCCTCTTGTTCCAATTATTTTACTAAAAATAAAATAATAATAAAGTTATAACTTTTAGTATTTTATTCTACAAGGAATTCTTTTAGCATATCATTTTTTATTTTTAAAAAGTAAAAATAATTTTAGTTTATTTATATGGATAAAAAGTCAATTATATTTTAATTTGAACAAACTAATATTATATATAATGATTTATTATAGTTTACTTTTCAATATTACTTATAATTGAAAAAATAAAATTTAGGGAAAAAAGAAAATTTTTATACTATCAAGTTCCACGACCTTATAGTTTTAATTTCATTGGATTAAACCCTAAACTTTGATGGGTGTTACAACTTTTACCCTTTATTCAAGTAGTGAATTTTTATTCAAGTTGTGTAAATTCACTGATGAGTTTTAACAACAAAATTTTTTATCAAAAAAGAAAAATTGTCAACAACACAAAAAAAAAGTGTGAAAACTAAAAAAAAAAATTATTAATTTAATGAAAATCAAGCTTTGTACAAATTAAGTTTGAATAATACCAAGATCAACCGTTGAATAATTATACCAAAATTTATAAATCTCAATAACAAATAATCATATGTAAAGTCATTTTATGCCCCGTATTTCATAAAACAGATCAGCCACTTGCCACATTGTGGCAACTTCCTTTAAAAATTCTCCTAACTATGACTAAACCGTGAGTTAATTAATTAATACCTTGTTTTACTACCATAAATATGTGTTTTTGTAGTTGGATGAGACTATTTTGTAGACTTTGAGGTTCTTTTTAGCTAGATTGGAACACTTTGATAAGTCTCGATTTTACTAATATTTTAATTTTGATCATTATTTTTAATTTGATTTCGGTTGAGTTTCGACTTTCTAGATGAATTTTGGATATAATTTGAAGAGCAGAAATTAAGGGCACAATCAACGATGGACTCACGGTTTAGAGTGTCTCATTTGGCTTTGATAATTAACAAAGAAGAAAAACAAAAACAATATTGGGAAAATTGGCCTATTTTACATAATCAAATAAAAGAATTAATTCCTCAAATGCAGCCCTTGGAATTTAGAAACCGCTAAAGTGCAAATGGTTTTTGTGGGGGTGGGTCATATTAAGCTTAATTATGTAATTAAGTGGTTTCCATTTTTTGGGCGGATGACTTGGATTCTCTGATTAATATGGGGATTTTGTTGTCTGATTAAACTTTATAATGTGACCACGTCGGTAGGAAAAGGCATAATAAGTAATAATCAACTTTTTTTTCTTTGTTGGATTTGCTAATTGAAGCATAAGCTTTCTGCCCCAAAGGCACTCTTGGATAGAAATGTTGACGATTAGGGTTTGAATTTATCATTTTAATCAAATGGGTTTTGGTTTAATTACCTTAAAACTAGGTGAATAAGCTAATTCTAGTACAAAAACTAACCCCTTTATAAAGTAGAATTGATTTTATGTGCATGAGTATTTTAAGCGAACAAAAATTTTGATTTTGTGGTAAAAAATCAAAGCATTTGGCAAAATAACAAAAAAATATATATAGGTTCAACCGACACTAGTATGATATTTGAATAAACAATCTTTACAATTAAATAATTTTATGTCTTTTTGAAGAGTACACATGACGTACGCTATTCTAACTCGTTAATATTATTCTTCGATTTTATCTTTACCGTGGTTAATGAAATTTTTTAACGTGTCTTTCCACTTTCTCTTCACTATGTTCATCCCTAGGGTTTTTACAAATGAAAAAATTACCATGAAGAGGTAGGACCTCGTTTTCTCATACATTTTAAACATGAAAATGGTCAATACATTAATCCACAGATGTCGGTAGACAAGCCTATTCAATCAATGTTGGGCCGTTGGGCCGGTCTGCTATCCCCATCAATGGGCTGGCGAGAATCTTGAGATGGCCCACAAGTCTATAAATGGGCCGATGAGCTGGTCCGCTAATCCATCAATGGGCCGGCGACCCCATCTTCTCGCTCTAATCAGACACGTTTTATTTTGATTTTGAATAGGAATTTAAATTCAAATACTACATTTAATATTCAACATTCAAACCAATATTAAATTTGCATACCTTCCCACCCCATCCCATAAAGACAAGCCAGCACACAAAATTAATTATTTTCAAAACATTCATAAATATTTCTCTAGCACCTTCACTGGTTCGTATAAGTTCTTTTGGTAAAATAGAAAAGAGGGAGGAAAAAATAAAAATAAAATGAGGAGAAAAAGAGGTAGATGGTGAATTTGATTCCAAAATCCAAAAATCCAAAATGCAAGCAGACAAAGAAAGCAGGGCGCTAATTGCATATAATAAATTGCAGCTTTTATTTTCTCAACTTCTTGGCCGCGCAATACGCGGCGTATTCTCATATCTCGGTTTCTCTGTTTTGTTTTTCCTGTTTTCTTCTTTCCTTCTTCTTCCTCCAAATAAATTTCAAATTTTTTGTAGTACTAATTGTTCGTGTTCGTACTCAATTCACTGCTGCCATTTTTTTCTTATTGATGGGCCTCCCAATGCACTTTCTTTTCTTCCCATTTGCTTCACAAATAAATTATTCCACATACGAGAATTGAGATCTCCATATCTCCATTTTCCCAATCCTTACAAACACTAAAATCCAATCTACTTCTCTTCGTACTCCTATTTATATCTCCCCTTTTAACCTTATCTTTGTCCCCTTCAAACCCCTTCCCTTTTTTCCGAACCAAACGCATCTCATTTATGTGGGCTGGGCCGGTTTTTTCCCTGGTCAAGGCCCAATAGGCCCATCCAGCCTCCGGCTACCAACGAAGAATAATATGTGATGACAGATCATTCAGATTCGACACAGAAATGACATAATACACTACATATT